AAAAGTAGTAAGCATAAAAGTTTTAGCCCTGTCTCTTACCTTTCCATTGGATGAAGAATCACATCAATTGGCCTTCTGGATTGAAAGATAGGCTCCAAATACTGCATCATATTCAGTCCTTGCGTACTGCTGCAGTGCTTCGACTTTAGAAAATATTTTGACCATGATCCAATCAGAACAAGGTGAATTGATAAAAGTAAACGTTGTAGACCATCTTTTTATAATTCTATTGGTCCAAGAATCACCTCATTTGGAGTTGTTTAGAGAGAGATATGGTCAAACTTCTGAAACATAGACGAATGAAGTCATCGCCATACTTGCACTGATTTTCATCAAAGAAGCCTTTTTCATCAATTTCCTAGAAAAACCATAAGAGACATTAGCAATAACTAGTCTTAAAGTAATTTAAAACAAAACAACATAAGATTTAACTAAAATAACTTAAATTAGTCACTTAACAAGTAATCAAAACTTAAAAACACGTAAAATGCTAAAATCCAAACCTAAAACCTCAAAGATCTAGCTACTTAAGCCCCCAAAATGTATCAAAATAACTCTATATAATAGAGTTATCAGATACCAATTAAAGTTAGTTAAAGTATTTAAGAGTGTTGGAAGGTGAAAGGAATAATTCGAAATAAAATATTCTGCACTTAAAAAATAGTAACTAAATAATAATATTTTTACCGAGGATGAATTAGCAAATTAAAATGTGAATTAGAGGTGAACCGGGATAAAGTGAGACATTTTGGATCCCGAGGAGACAAGTGAAAAATTTTAAAATAAAATAATATTTTATTAATAAAATAATATTAAAATATTAATATTTTAACTGTTATCGAAATTAGTTATGAAGAAGAAGTATATAATTAATCTAAGTGGGGAGAAGAAGTAAGAAAGAATTTAAAAGAAAAACAACGTTAATGGGGCTCGTATGCCTTTATTAAATAAAACTAGCACGAGTAAGTATATATTTAAATATTATGGTGATACCTTGGTGAAGTGTAAAATTTTATATTTTGTTTGCACACATGTAAAGGAAGAAAGATAGAAGAAAATTGGACTTTAAAACATGTTGGAAGGATCAAATTGTAGAAGATGAATATTTGGAGGGTTAAATGGTAAATAAGGAAAAGTTTAAGAACATATGTGCAAGTTTAATTAAATGGACATTTACTAATCAAGAAAGGTTAGGTTATGTCGAATATGCGATGTGCATGCAAAATTAACTGTTACATGCAAATCATTGTATTGAAAAAGAAGGAAGCTAGTGGGGAACATGTGGCACCCCACCATGTGAAAGTTGATAAAGAGAAAAAGAATAAAGAGTATTTAAATAAGAGAAAACCATGGTTTGGCAAAGATAGCCCATAGTAAACAACATAAGAATGGTAATGTGATTTAAAAAGGAAACAGTATAATCATAGCATGAAATATTATTGGATGATAAGGTGGCATTGAAAGGAAATAAAAATGAAATGCAATAAAATACGTGTGAAATGTAATGCAAATGAAATAAAAGGAAACATTGCATGAACAAGCCACCAATGGGAGGTGGTGATAATAACAAAGAGAAGAATTGATTGGCATGACTTGTAAAGAGAAAAGAAAAGACAATAGTGGGAAAAGAGTGGACAATGATGGTGGTGGCTGAAAGGTTTAAAAAGCCTTTTTACCTTGTGATTTTAACCACATGAAAGTAAAAGGAAAATGATAAAATGACCAAACTTTAGGCAATCCGCCCATGAGAGAAGAAATGAAAGGAAGTGTTGCCATTTCCTTGGGCAATCTGCCCATAACAAAGAAAAATGGGATGAAGGCTCATTTTACCCTTGTTTTGTCCACCACCTGAGAGAGAGAGAGAAAAGAGAAGAAAAGCTACATACAAGGAAAGGCTCGATTTTTAGAAGAAAAGTGTGAAGAAAACAAGTAAGTTCCATGAGAGATCCACCCATTTGGAAGAGATATGGAAGGAAAATAGCCTTGTGAGGCTTCCACCTGAGAAGAGAGAAAGAGTTGAGTGAAAAAGGCTTGGAGGAGGCTCGGTTTAGTGGAAGCTAGGAGAAAAACCAAAAGGTAAGTAGAACCTAAACCCTAAACCAAAAAACCTTCCAAGCTAAGGAAGGTAAGTAAAACCTTGATTTTGGTTATGATTTCTTGAGGAAATAAGTTGGTAATTGTGTGAGAATGTTTGTGGCAGCAAAGGTCATCCAAGATTTGAAAGAAATAGATGCATGCGTGTGGATCAATCTTGGAATGCATGGTGATTTTGAGATAGTTAAGTAATGGGTGAGCATTTTAGTCTTGAAATCACACGTAAACAAGAGAAATGATATGTATGCTAATTGTTTATGTTTGTGGAAGCAATGAAGACCATGGATGAGAGGAAATTGTGAATCATATGTGGGACTCAAGCTAAAACCGAGACGTGAGCATGCAATGTGTCCAAATTGTGTTGTGTTGGTTATGAACAGTTGATAATATGTGAAATGCATGTTAAAATGCTTGTGGTTGAGGTTGAAGAAAAATATGAAATTTGGTAAAGGAATTATTAACCAATCTACTACCCATATTTGTGTATGATTAAGCTTATTGAGTTTAATTTGTTTCTAGGAAATGTTTGTCGTAGTGGCACGCCGGAAGAGGTAACGGGTGACCTGCAAGTAGAATTAGTTAGATACGCATTTAAGTCAATAGTGACGAAGCATCCCGCTATTGTAAAGTGAGTAACGGGTGTCGATTTTAAAATCTCCATACTATATATTGTTTTACATTAATAAACGTTGTTGGTTTTCCTTAAGTGCATTTGTGGATAACATGAGCTATTAGCCTTGCTAGGCCATTTTTAAAATAGATTTACAATGATTTTTATATTGCTATTGTGGAAAGCATGAGCTGGTAGAAACCATAGTAAATTGTGGATGCAAGTGTTTTTAAAGTGATTTAGATATATTGATAGATAAGCTATATATGTAAAAAGTTTTACAAACCAGGAAACGAGCCTTGCACGATGTTTGCATCAATATTCGTGCCTTGTGTTTTTGTGTGATATGCATAGCAAAATGCATTTGTTAAATGATTTAAAATGCAAGTTTGAGCACCGATTTTATTCCGATCTTTGTACAAAGTATTTTACCATGCCATTTAATGTGAAAAGCAATTTGAAAGATTATTGAACTTTGATTTCAAACGATTTAAAGGAAAAGCCTTGGAAAACTTGATTAGGTTTCTAAAACAATTTTGACAAACTGAGAGCATCGAGAGTAGCCGACTGTCACTTCGGTTAAGTGTGACCCTTGTGTACAAATGAGTTCTAGCTAAAGAACCTTTAGGTCGTCGACTGGCTATTAGGCATGGCTGGAGCCATAGTCTGTGATATACGTGGCAAGGCCATGAGTTGTTATATGTGGCTAGGCCACAAGTGATATTCATGATTATGACTGCTTGATTTCTTTGACGTCGGCTAACATCGTCGAGACTACCATGGTTGTGGGGGTTTGATGGAGCAGAGCTCTCAGATGTTATTACGTAGAAATAAGTCCACGGGTGATTACGATACTTACATACTCGAGAGCCTTGTGAGTTTTTGATGCGTACTCTTTTGCATGGCGGAGAGTTAAGATTTCTTTGCAGCTCCTTTAGTTTGAATAAAAGCTTTCAGTGGTTACTTGATGATCATGAAATTGTTTACATGGCCAGACACTTTGATTTCTTTATATGCCACACATTTTGGAGTATGCATAGTTTATGCTATTATTCATATGTTTATGGCAAGTAATGTTTTTGATGTTTGAACTCGGTTTCGCTAAAGTTGTTTTGGGCACCGTTTTACCAAGTGAAATATTGTATTATATTTTATAGCTTCATTTTTACAAGGCACAAACACTCTCTACTAGTGATTTGATTTTTCTAAGATTACTATACTTATTCCGGTTTTATTATTCAAATTTATCTACCTTATGCTTGTTTCCCATCTACACCCTACTCACGGAGCCGATGATCACTAAGTCTATGAGACTCACACCCTTTTATTTCCCTTTTGCAGATAGTGATCAGCTTATCTTGTAGTCATTGGCATTTTCAGCCCAACGGGATAGGTAAAGGCATGTCATAGCACTTTATTTCGAGTCGCTCCGTTGCTAGAGATCGAGTTGTCATAGTGTAATTTGTTATGAAATTAGACAATAATGTCAATGCAAATGTACATTTGGAGATTATAAGTCTTGATGTATTATTTTTACGATTATGTGGAATAAAGGTTTAGTCAATTTATAAAGATTATTGTTTAATTCTTATTACAAAGAGTTTTATGGATCAAGGTAATTTCATAGATTGATGGCATGAATATGAAGTAATAGCTATCGTTTTATGTAAGGCTTATTCGAAACTTGGCAGGTTCTCTTGTGAAACTCAAACACCAATAGCGATCGAGGAGTGGTCGTTACATTTAAAGAATAAATAAAGAAAAGGAAAAGAAAGGTGAGGAAAAAGCTTGGGAAAGAAAACCGCACCTTGAAAAAAAAAGAAAAATGAGAATCAGCTTGGAAGCAGAAAGAAAGAGGAAGGGAAGGAGAAAGGAAGAAAGGAGGAAAGAAGAAAGGAAGAAAAGAGAGAGAAGAAAAGAGAAAGGAAGGTTCAGTTTTGGAGAAACTAGAGAAAAATTGAGAAGTTTTCCTTTCACATGCCTTTGTTGGAGTTTAAAGAGACCTTGGTGGGTTGGCTTAGAGATTCCAAGGTAAGGAAGGTAAGAATTATCGTTTTGTTTGAATGCATGCTTTTTGAACCGATTATAATGTGGGATTTTGTTTGTGGTAGCAAGAATCTTCAAGGATTCAAGAACTAGATGCATGCATGTAGTGGATCTTGGAATGCATGATGATTTTGAGCTAGATAAGCAATGGGTAAGTGTTTTAATCTTGAAATCACAACTAGAAAGGAGAAATGAGATATGTATTAATTGTCTATGTTTATGGCAGCAATGATGGCCAAGGATGTGAAGGAATTGTGAACTATATGTGGAATTCAAGCTAAAACCGAGAGCAAAGCATGCAATGGACTATATTGTGTTGTGTTGGCTTTGGTTGGTTGAAGTATATGGGTTGTATGTTAAATGACTGTGAATAATGTTGATGAAAACTATAAAATTAGGTTAAGGATTTGTTGATGGATGTGCTGCCCATATATGAGTGCAATTAAGTGTATTGGGTTTGAATTGTTGCTAGAAACTGTGAGAAAGGAAAGTTGCTGTGGCGGCATGTCGAAAGAGGTAACGGATGACTGGTAGGTAGAATTAGTTAGATACGCACCCAAATCAATAGCGACGTAGTGTCTGCTATTGTAAGGTGAGTAAAGAGTGTCTATTTCAAAATTTTGATGATATATATACATATCGATATACGATTAATAAACGTGTCGGTTTGCTTTAAATGCAATTTGTGGACAGCATGTGTTGTTAACCTTGGTAGGCGATTTTTAAATGGATTTGCAATCAAGTTATATTGAATTTGTGGACAGCATCAGTTAGTAGAATGTTAGGCTTGTGAATGCCATGCTTTGAAAAAGGTTTTGTATATATGTATATATTAACTACATACGTAAAGAGTTTTAGAAATCGAGAAACAAGCTTTTTAACTCAGTTTACATAAAAACGTGCTTTATTGTTTGTGTGATGTGCATTCATGAATAAATTTCATGTTCACCATGCTGTTTTGATATATAAACCTCATGTAAAGATTTTATATTATAAAGTCTTACAATGTGGTTTTATCATGTTACCATGAATGGTATTTTAGAAATGGATTTGAAATAAGCTTTTGAGAACCCAACTTGATTTTAAATGGTTTTATCAATCCGGGAGATTTGAGAGTAGGTCAAATGTCACATCGGGATTGTGTGACCCTTTTGTACAAGTAAGCTTTAGCTAGAGAATCTTTGGGTCGCCAATGGGCTGTTAAATGTGGCTGGGGCCATTGTCTGTGATATGTATACATGGGAAAGCCACGGGATGATATACGTGGCTAGGTCACAAATGATATACGTGGTTGCAACCACATGATTTCTCCGATGTCGGCTAATGTCGTTGAGACTACCATGGTATGGGAATCCAGTGGAGCAGAGCTCCCATATGTTATTATGTGAAAACGGGTCTGTGAGTATATTAGTGCGATTACCTACTCGAGAGTGATATCTATTTTGGTTTTCAAACTGGAATTCTTTCGTATGGTGAGAATTACATGTTGTTCCACAACTCCGTTGTTTATACAATGATTTTGTATTTAAATTCCTTGAGGACAAGATGATTTCCAAACTTCTATATAAGTTCTAGTAATGTTTGGTTTTATGGGAGCATATATCATTATACTAATTTGCTTTGAGTAAAGTTGTTAAATGATTTCAACGGTGGAAATCTTTACTTGTATTGGTTTCAATACTTGTTTTAAACAATTATCTTGTATTAAAATTCTTGGTTTTACATGTAAGGCACAAAACTCCTTTTTGAGTTAAATTGTTTACATGTATTCTTTTCCTTTTAATATTCAAATCTTTTATCCTTAGCTTGTTTCCCATCTATGCCCTACTCATGGAGTCGATGATCACTAGGTCTGTAAGACTCACCCCTTTATCTTCCTTTTGTTGATACGTGATCAGCTCAAGTGTATTTCCCTAGTATTTTGATTCGCTGTGACCTAGGTAATAGCATTTCTTAGACTTCCACTCCGAGTCGCTCCGCTGCACAGGGGCCGTGTTATGTAAAATAGTTGGATTTTTAAAACTTATTAGTTTATCAGAAATGTATTGGGAGAACTTAGAGGTTGTGTAATGAATATTAAGTGTGATGTTGAATTAGATGAAAATTTATCGGAATTGGATATTGTCATCTGGTACCGACGTATTGATTACAAATGTTTATTTGGTTTAAGTAAACGATAGTATCACTATTACTAATTGATTTATATACGTAAAAGAATGTTTTGATTTGATTATCTAGAATCTCAACTAAGGCTTGTTCGGGATTTGGCAGGTTCACTCGAAAGTCTTGAACGTCGGTAACGATCGGGGAAAAGATCGTTATAGTGGCACTTGTTGATATATATATAATGCTTGAGCTTATGCAATTAAGTTGAGAAGTTCCTTAATAGTATAACGAGAATTATGAATGCATGCATCATCATTTTGTATGTAAATGGATGTTATAAGATGCTTCTACATGTAATGATGAATGTTTAATGATGTTATCGTAAAAAGTTTGCTTAGGCCTAATAGATTATGCTCAACTAGGTCTATGCCTCGATCATGAGCCTTCTAGGAAATGAGGTGTGGCAAGATACACATTAAATTTGTCTCATGTTCTCAACTTCCACCGGAGTTATAGATGACATCTTCTTAGAAAGTTTGATTCCATGTCTAGAAATGACAAAACCTTTCTTGGAATCTTGCATAGCAAACTTGGCCAAAATCTTGTCTATGTAAGATGTTTAAGATAATGTTATTTACTTGTTCTTATGATCCCTTATAAATTTGATCCCTAAAACATAGCTCGCTTCTCTCAAATCCTTCATATTGAATTATTGGTTCAGCCAGCCATTAACTATTGATATCATTCCTACATCATTCCTAATGAGTAAAATGTTATCAATATAAAGGACTAGGAAACAAAAATTTTTATCTTGTATCCTTTTATAGACACAGGGTTCATCAAGATTTTGTTGAAAACCGTATTATTTGATAACACTATCAAATCTTATGTTCCAAGACTTAGACGCTTGCTCCATAAATGGACTTATGCAATTCACGGACCTTATGCTCATGGCCCTTTTTATTGAAACCTTTTCTTTGAGCCATATAAATGCAATCTTCAATATCCCTATTTAAAAATGTGATTTTGACATCCATTTTCCATATCTCATAATCCAGATGTGTAGCTATGATAGGAAGATCTTGATGGATTTAAGCATAACAATCGGTGATAAGGTTTCCTCATAGTCAATCCCTTCTCTTTGGGTAAAACCCTTGGCCACTAGTCTAGCCTTGAAGGTCTTCACATTCCCATCACTTCCTCTTTTTCTCTTGTAAATCCATTTGCACCCTACATGTTTTATCCCTTCAGGTAAATTTACTAGAGTCTAGACTGTGTTGGAATCCATGGAGTCAAACTTCGATTTCATTGCCTTATGCCACTCTTTAGCATTTACATCATTAATAGCTACTTTATATGTAACAGGATCAAATTCATGTTCATTTGAGAGTGCAATCATGTTTTCTCCCAAACCCCTATATCTCTCTAATTGTCTCATAACCCTCTTACTAAGTTAAGGCATCACTATTTGATGTTCACGTTATGTTTCTGTTTCAACCCTTAAATTAGGTTGTGTTATGACATCTTTAGAATTAACTTTTAAATATGAAAGATTAGACAATTCTTCTAAGACAATTTTACTTCTAGGTTTGTGGTTTCTCACAAACTCTTCCTCTAAGAAAGTGGCATTTGCACTAACAAAAACTTTGTTTTCTTGAGGATTATAGACGTAATAACCTCTTGTTCCCTTTAGATACCCTATAAACAAGCACACCTCAATCTTTGGTTCCATCTTTGTGAACTAAAGATTTAAAACATGTGCAGGCCACCAACAAGCTCTCAAATAACATATAAATGATTTATGCCTTGTCTACAGCTCCCTTGTTGTCTAAGGCATAGCCTTAGATGGAGCAAAATTGAGCAAGTACTTACTAGTTTGCATACAATATCCCAAGAATGAGATTAGAAGGTTAGCATAGTATTTCATTGATCTAACCATTTCTAAAAGTGTCTTATTTCTTTTTTTAGCTAGTCCATTATGTTGAGGTGTTCTCAAAGTTGGAAAATTAGAAATTATCCCAATGTTAGGGAGATATTACTAAAATTCATCTGATAAATACTCAACACCCTAATCTGATCGAAGTTGCTTCAATGGCTTGCCTAGTTGCTTTTCAACTTTAGATCTGAATACTTGGAACTTTTCAAATGATTCATTTTTTCTATGCATTAAATACACAAAGCCATGTCTTAAATAGTCATCAATAAAAGTTATGAAATATTCATAACCTCGTCTAGATTGTACGTTCATTAGTCCACACACATCTGTGTGCACCAAGTCTATAATATTTGGCATTCTATTACCTTTTGCCTTGAAAGGCCCTTTGGTCATTTTTGCTTCAATACAAGACTCACATATTAGTAAAAGACCCTTAACCATGTCTAGTAGAGTGCCATCCTTTATAATCCTATTGAGTCTATTTTGATTGATATGACCTAAACATAAATGCCAAAGATAATTTTGATTCATGCTAGATTTTTTTACTCTTTCAATTTTAAATCATATTGCTTCTATATCATTTGCAAAATAAGTTGTCGGCTCCAGGAAATAAAGATTATATGTTACATTTCCAAAACAAATAAAATCCTTATTCAAATAAATTATGAGTGTCTCACTAAAATAAACTGAATATCCAAACTTTATTAAACAAAAGACAGAAATCAAATTTCTATAAGTCTTTAGAATGTAATAAACATATTCCAAAACTAAGCTATGACCATAAGGAAATTGAAGAAAAATGGCTCCCACTGCTAATACTGAAATGAATGTGCCATTCGCCATCCGCATCCGAAACTACCATTTACTTACTTTTCTCTTTTGTCTATAAAGAATTACAAACATGGTTAGTGGCTTCAAAATCTACTATCCAAGTATC